GACCACTTACGTCCCCACTGAAAATAAACCAGATAAAATAACTGTCACCGCAGGTGCAATTACTCCAGCCTGCAAGCCAAGCGCTTCCACGTAGCAGCGTGGTTTGGGGGTTTGCCGGGAGGTCAGGAGGCAGCACTGTTTTAAGCAGGATGCTTCCATCTGGGTAATGCTCCCAAGCCCCTCCGGATGAGAACACTGTTTTGCATCGCCTCAGAAACTCACTCCAAATTGCAGGTACGGCAGAGTCACAAATTTCCCCCACCCCAGGCAACTCAGTGTGGGACTGAGGGACAGAGCAGCAGTTCCCACTGCCTCCCGCTCCAAGTGAAAGGAAGAGCAGAGGCAGCCCTCAGACCAGCACAGAGAGCTTTCTGCAAACCAATTGCTTAGGGTTTTCACACCTTCAAAGCTGCGTTGATTTCCCTCTGCCTAAATGCAAACGACTCTTTCCTGCTGCAGGGGCTTACACAGGGGACAGTGTACCTTTAAAACAAAAACTAAGCAAACACAAAACCCAAACTCGTCCCAAACCCTTCAGCAAACCCTGACTCACTCAGCAGCCAGGTCTCCCAAAGGCAACCCCAGCGTGGGGAGCAAAGCACTGCAGGTCAACCAGAAAACAAGCAGCAGGCACCACTTACCTGGGCCGCTTTGCCCTGCAAGACACAGCCAAGGAAAGCACTTAATGCTGCAGCGCTGCCAGCGAGGGGACGGCACACGCGTGACGGCGGGAGCCCGGAGGAGCCAGAGGAAAAGCGAGGCCCCAGCTGCACCGATGAGGCCAGACACGCTCGCCCTTCTGTGTGAAATCCCCCATGGATACAACTGCTTCCAGGCACGGTGGCCACGCAGCGAGCCCATCCCCTCAGCGTTTCCGTACCATGCACGGAGCTTAGCACAACTGCAGCAAGATGCCTTTTGCTTGAGGTATTATAGCCTTGCTCTCCCCCTACCCCACGCCACTTCCCAGAACATAAGTCTGAAATTTAGGCCGTGAAGAAGACTCTTTTGGGATTGCATCCCTCATTTATAGCTACAGAGCAAGAGCAGGACAAAGTGCAATGCTGGAATCAAGAGATCAGTCTGAATTCCTCCTGCCTTCCCCTGCAATTCAAACTCAGTTCTATCTGGAGCGGATCAGAGACAGTGGGTCTGCTTTCGGTCTTGGACAAACCATCTCCTAATAGCCAGCTACAGCAAGTGAAACAGACACCTGAGCACCAGTCCTAGCAAGGGAAGAAAGAATGAAAGAAAAAGAAAGAAGGAAGAAAAGTCTTTTAAAATTCCTCTTTCTGGAGGACATTTGACCACAAGTCATGGTGGGATACTCAGTCCACCTCAGCAAGAGCAGGAAAAATGGTTAGAGAAGAGAGGCACGAGGGAGCTCCACAGGCTCAAGCCATCCCTGCAGCCAAAGTTCACGCTGGGCACAGGCAGCCTGGCCTCACGCCCCAGCGCAGGGTCTCGGAGCCCATCTGAGCAGGGGACCGAGGACACCCACCTCGTTGATGCGGATCTGCTGGAGCTCTTGTTCCGCCGCGGTCAGCGGGGCCGGAGCGGAGCAGGACGACACGTGCTTTTGGTAGCCGCTTAGGGACACGTCTTCCTGCAGGCAGAGGGACACAGCGGGACGGGGAGCATCAGGGGCTGGTTAGCACGGCCGTACGGGCAAGATCAGCATAGGAAAGCAGAAGAAAAGCCTCCCACCAACCACTGCTGGACAGGGAAGGCCACCCAGACAACCAGCACGGCCCCGGCTCTGCAGCAGTGTGCTCCAGCGGGACACTGCCACCGCGTGGCACTTGTTTTCCCTCGTTTTGCCTCTAAACAGAGCAGCTGGCGGGAGCTCCTAGGAACCCTCCTCCCAGGAACCCTCCTCCCGTCCCTTCTGCAAAGGCAGCCTTCCCGGGGCAGCTGTGACCATACCTTAACCGTCCCAAACATCTCGTCCTTTATGTGCCCTCCTCCGAACTCCTTCTTCACCGTGGCTCGGGTTGCAGCGTAGAGCATCTTCAGCCTGACCTGTGCAAGGAGAGAGGGGGCGAATGCAGTCAGAGAGGAGGGGCACAGCGGGACGGAGGGCTCTGCCTCTGCTCCGGAGCAACCGCGGGGATTCGCGGCTGCCTCCCCATCTGCCACCGGCTGCAGCGCCAGCTTTACAAACCAGCAAGCCCAGGTTATGGCAACAGCCTGGCCTGCCACCGCCTTCACTTGCCACCAAAACCACGGCTCACGCTGCCCTTTGAGACCGAAAACGTCCCTGGAAACTGGCTCCTCTCAGGAGCCTGGTAGCCCAACAAGGACCAAAGTCACCTCCGTGTTTTTCAAGAACGTGCTGCTACAGACCATTTCCAACAAGCATTGCAAAATCAAAAATGTCTAGATGCAGATTCCAGCTCTCTCGCATGTGGCCTCTCTCTTGGAGTAGAAACCTTTCCCTGGGTATTCAAGCTGCAGAAAATTGCCCTGGAAGCCACCTGGAAGCAACTGCCTGGTTTCTGTTTTGATTTTGTTTCTAACTTTAGCGTCTCCAGCGTTAGGGGATGGCTCGTTTAGCTCTGAGTCAGAGAGGTCACAGAGCAGGCAGCAGAGCCCATCAGCTCCATGTCCAGGCCATGGTCACGCACGCATGGTGCAGCCTTGCTGGGCTCTGTCCTCAATCGAAGCCGCAATCCCACCACACAGGGTTGCTCTGCGCTCTGCCTTCCCATCTCAGAGCGCCGGCACTTCAGCGCTTGGCACAAAGTGTTTTTCATCTGCACTTTGGGTTTCTACAAGGGAAGATCGAAATACTGCTGGCAGCGTTTAAAGGCAGACAGTCACCTTATTAGGGAGCGCCACACGAGTCGAGCCCATGTTTCTCCAAAAAGCACAGCTTTCTGGGACATCTCAGACAAATTGCCTCCAAACAGAGCTAGAACAGATGACGCTGCTGAAAACTTCCACCCTCGAATCAACTAACCAGACAGGAGCACAGCAGTGCAGAGGGTGGACGCTGGCTCCACGCAGAGTCCTGCAAACGTCTCTGTAGCAAGGGAATGAGAGCGCTGAGATCTTTTTCTAGTGAGCTGTTGTGAGGGAACAGACTTCAAAGAAAAACTTCCCACTGACAAGGCAAAATGTTTTGTTTCCGCTCACCTTTTAACACTTCTTTTACAGTGTTCTTCTTCAATACGTTCAGTAGAGAAGAACTTTTAGAATGTCCTTTGGTGCAAGATTCTTTTGTGCTAAGAGCCTACATGTTTTATTTAATATATTGAACAGTAGTTCTATACCAAAGTGCCAAAGTTTGGGGTTCACTGAAAGCTTTTAAGGGAGATGCCTTTAACAAAACAGCACTTTCCAAACGAGAGGCTGCATGACCAAACTTTAAAGCAGCACCAGATACAGCTTTGTGCTTTTGCACCAGCTCTGCTGCCAGCTTGAGACTTTGTTAAACATCATCTCCAAAAGCTTCACCTGCTGCTGCACCTTAAGACATTCCCCCATCCCCAGAGCTGTCTCTCCTCGTGAGCGGGCGCGCGGCGAGGGATGGAGGAGCGCGAGGAGCTCACCGGGGAGTTGTCGGGGGACCAGGAGATGAAGAGCCACTCGTAGCCCTGGGCGTTCTGGCTGTCCAGGCGGTACAGGATGTAGCTCGGCTGCTGCTCGTCCAGCAGCGGCAGCACCAAGGCGTCGTAGTCCGCGTCCCAGCGCCGCGACAGCTCCTTGTGCGCTCCCAACACGAGCTGTTCTGGAAGGAGAGGAAGGCAAGGGTCATGCGGGAGAGCGGCAAGGCTCGACTTGGGGCGAGGGCTGCTCACGGGCCTCTGGGGGCTCCCTGAAACACCAGGGCCAGGTGCTGAGGGCCCCGGGCCAACCTGGCTGCTCATCTCCCACCCACTTCCAGCGCGAGGCCGGAGGACCCAGGCTTCCCTCTGCATCCCACTGTCTATCCAACCAGCTTCTCTCCTGTGCTCCTCGCGGAGGGGTCTCCATTTGCAGAGGCCATCAACGGTGTCACGGTGGCCTGGCCCCTGGCCAGGGGCCCTCAGCACCTCCCAGCTCCACGCAGCTCAGGGCTGCAAGCACAGGCGGATGCACAGGGGAATGAACCCTCTGCTTCTTCAGCAGGGAATTTCAAGGGGCTTTGGAGCTACAGGACCCTGCCGGCTCTGCCCACACAGGGCGCCACATGGAACTAGGTCTGGCGAGACACAGGGTGCCAAGGAAGAGCCCACAGCAAAAGCCAAGCAGGCTGGGAAGGGAGCCAAAGGCACCCTCATCGCTTCCCTGCCATCCCAGACATTCGAGAGTCGCAAAAGACACCCAAAGCCCATACCCGGGGCAGCTGGGGGCTTCCCTCCACCACGGGGACCCAGGTCGGCCCCCCCGCGCA